TAGTTCTTTGAAGGCTGAAAGAGGCAAGGAAATTGCAGAAGAAAGTTTTAAGCTGGCAGAGGTGGTTCATGAAGTTAAGGAAAGAAACCCATCTACATAACATCAAAGTGCAAAGTAAAGCTGCAAGTGTAGATGTAGAAGCTGCAGCTAGTTATTCAGATGTAGCTCAGATAATTGATAATTGATGGCTAGACTAAACCATAGATTTCTTTTTTAATATAGATGAAACAGCCATATATTGGAAGAAAATACCACTTAGTGTTTCATATCCAGAAAGAAGTCAATGGCTGGCTTTGAAGTTTCCAGACAGGCTGGTCTTGTTAGAAGCTAATGCAGCTAGGGCAGCTGGTGGCTTTAAGGTGAAACCAATGCTTGTTTACATTCCAAAACTCTTAGGGATCTTAAAAATTACACTTTGCCCATGATTTTTAATTCAAACAGCAAATCCTGGACGAGAACACATGTGCTCACAATGTGGCTTACTGAATATTTTAAGACCATTGCTGAGTTCTACTGGTTAGCAAATCAAAATGAAAAATTATTATAGAACGTTTCTCTTCATTCACAGTACAAGGGGTTTCATTAGATCTCTGATGGAGACATACAACAAGATGAATGTTATTTTCATGCCTGGTAACAGTATCCATTCTACATCCCATAAGTCAAGGAAGAATTTTGATGTTCAAGTCTTATTATTTTAGGAATATATTTTGAAAGCTATAGCCAATATAGATTGTGGTCCCTTGAATAAATCTGGGCACAATACATTGAAAATCTCCTGGAAATAATTCACCATTCTAAAAGTCATTAAGTACAATTCAAGGGAAGGTCTAAATATCAATATTAACATCAATTTTGAAGAAGTCAATTTCAATCTTCACAGATGATTTTGGGGGCTCTAGACTTCAGTGAAAGAAGTAATTAAAGATGTGGTGGAAATGGCAAGATAATTAGATTTAAATGTGGAGCCCAGAAAAGTGATCGAATTCCTACAATTTCAGAATTAATCTTTAATCAGTGAGGAGTTTCTTATTATGGATTAGTAAAGAAAGAGGTTTCTTGAGCTGGAATCTACTCCTAAAGATGTTATGTATATTGTTAAAATGGCAACAAAGGGTTTAGAATATTACAAAACCTTAGATGATAAAGCAGCTGCAGCAGGGTTTGAAAGTCCCATTTTGAAAGAACTTCTACTGTGGGAAGAATGCTATCAAACAGCAGAGTAAATTACTTATAAACCTTTTAAAAATTTTGATTAAAGAAATTTAATGTGATTTTACTTATTTTAATGGATGCATTATAGCTCTGTATAAAATTGAAATGCATTGAGTCATATTCATTCATACACCCAGCACAATTTGGTCAGATTCCTTGCCCAGTTCTTCCCTTTCCCTCACTCCTCCCTCTCTCTTGGTCTCCCACTTCTACTCTACTCATCTACTTCTATTTTTTATATATTTTTCTTTCTAGTTTCCACATATAAGAGAAAACACTTGACCCTTAACTTTCTGAGTCTGATTTATTTCACTTAGCATGATGTTCTCTAGTTCAATTCATTTTCCAGCAAATGCCATGATTTTATTCTTCTTTATGATTGAGTAGAATTCCATTATATATGCATATAATATATATATATATATATATATACACACACATACACACACAGATATATATATATATATATATATATGAATTTTCAAGCATTTTTGAATACATACACAGACAGATACGAATATATCTGTGTGTGTGTGTACATATATATTCTGTGAACCCCTTTTTCAGCTCCCTGGGGTGATATTACCATCTGGGGAATCCCTCTTGAGGACTGAGTAACTATTCAACCAGAAAGAGGCCTGGCTTTGAGCTGGGGGAACCAAGAATTGATTCAAGCTGTGCCTCTACACACGTGAACGTCCTGACAAACTGCTTCACCTCTCCAGTTCTATATAAAGAAAGGGAAAGAACTGGGTGGTAACTTCCTAAGAAAATATCTGTCTTGAGCAAATCTCATGAGCAAAAGCAGGGCCTCCGTGAGAGCACTGGATCCATTGGAAGGAACCTTCGGAAAAGGGTCTGAGGACTGCAGACTGGGACAGGGACCCTGAAATCAAACACGTGATCGTGAGTGAGGGGCAAAGACTGCTGCCTGTCCTCAGGAAATCCCCTGGCAGGTTCCAGGCAGAGGGAGACACTCCTGGTTTTATTCTGGAGCTCACATTGAAGATTCGGAGGATGGGACTCTGGGTGTGCTCTAGGGTGGACCTGTCCTCTGATCTGGTCCGGGATACTTTGATCAGGAGAGACTCTTGTGAGCTCGTGTGTGTGTGTGTGTGTGTGTGTGTGTGTGTGTGTGTGTGTGTCCATAACGAGTCTGAGCATGGGTATGTGTATCTGTCTGTGTATGGGGTATAAAATAGGCCTGAGATATCCCTCAGCCCTTCCACCTCGAGAGGACATGCCTAGAAAGTGTCATCTTTGAACCATGAACCAGGCCC